ATGTGCTGTGGCAGGGAGCTGCCCTGGTCAGGAGAGACCCAGGGCGGGGGATGGCCTGGAGGGTCGGATGACCAGACACATGACTCCAGGTGCCATGACGCTTACTGGAAGTCCCGCCTGAGGCTGAGAATGTGATGCCAGGACAGGAGACCCTCAGCTCCCATGGGTGCGGAACCCATGTGCCCCATAAAAGGGTGGGGGGCAGCTGAGAGGATCCTGTGGTCTATACCTGACCCACCTTTCCCTATAACGTTCCACGGGCTGGGGCATGGGAAAGGACACAGGGCAGCTGCTGGTGTGACCCCTGTGGGTCCCTGGGGGTGCTCCTTAAATCCCGTAAGGCGATGAAGCCCTTTATGCAAAGACCCAAAGATAAAAGGCCCAAGAGGAAAATGCTCCTACGCCAAGGCACACACCCGAAGGTGGTTCTGGTGGGAGGGGGACATAGACTGGGAAGACTGCCATATGGAAACCAGGGACCTGGTGACAGACGGAGTCTGAGCCAAGCCTGGCCAGCTTCATGATTTCACTGTGAAGACCAGAAAACCGAGGCCCAGACCATTGCCAAACCCCTCGTGACTCGTGGGCCCCCTTGGTCCAAAGTGAGAAGCAGCTTCAGCAGCATCGTTCCTGCCATTGTCTGAGAGGGTCTTTGACACTTTTTTCTTCCATGTCTTCGGACCCTCTGGGGTCTTTGGACACTCTCTTTCTCCATGGGACTCCCCCTTCCCGACTTCATTTTATTTGGTGATTCCTTTGCCATTGCAGACAAGTCTGTGGCTTTGGTGGAGGCTAACTTTTTTCTTGAACTTAATTAATTTTGAAGTCAACAAAGATTGCACACACAACACCCAGAGCAGAGCTGCTGTGTGAGAGCAGGAAATCCAATCAGAATCATAAAACCGGGAGGAGACTGAGCCACTGATGAGCCGAGGAGTGACATCAGAAGTGGAGTTCGTTAGGCTCAGTACAAGGCTGTCCCCCGGCCCCCCAGTGCCCGAGGAGGCCCAGCTGGGCTCTGACCCACCAGGCCCTCTGTGCCGCTGCCACGCCACATGCTTTCCATCTTTGACAGGATTCCTTAAACAAGCAAGTATTCAAGGTATTTGAACAGCGGAAACTGCAATCAGGGAGAGAAATTATTCACTGTGGTTTTGTGCCATCATTTTCTTCTCTTGTACACGTTAAACTATTTTGACTTTCTAATCCATTAGTAGGGAATATGCGTTCATGATATTTGTAGAATCTCCAAAATGTTTAATTAAGAAGAAAAATAGCTTTTCAAACTGGATGGAAAAGCATCAGAAAAGTAGGGATGCTCTGTGCTTCATGCAGGCAGGATTCAGTTCCAGGCTTTTCCAAGGACCAAGCGGACCCAGAAGAGTTTTCCATCAGTTTCCCTGGGAGGTGTGACCCGAGGGAAATGTAGAGAAGGAGGAGCCGCCGGCTTTGAGCTGGGAAGTTGCTAGTATTGCCTCGGATGTCAGTTAGTTCCCAGCTCCTGCCCACCCGCGACTCCAGTACAACCAGGGTGGGTTCATGGTAACTGAGGACAGACTCAGAAACTTGTGGTTCCCAAGAAATGCTTGTTTGTCGAATGGATGAACGAGGACAGGCCCATCCTCTTACCGGGACCTACACCTGGCTCGGAATAAATGCTGCTCGGGATGTCTTGGGACATTCTGCTTCCACCCCACGCAGGAGTCTGGGACGCCCGCACACAGAGGAACGAGAGGTGTGGGTGGTCGAACTTGGGTGTCAGAGCCCCCACCCCCCTGGCCACAGAGATCCAAGACTTTCCTGGTCGTTGGGACCTGTTGTCTCGCCCCTGAAATGGTCTGACAGCCGTCCACCAGGGTCACCTGGGAGGCAGGTGACACGTGACAGTGCTCCTGGAGCCCTGCTCATCGTGAAGTGGGGCAGTCTCCGTTCCTGGTCAGAATTCAGGGTCTGCAGAACAGGCCCTGTGAACTCTTCTTGCTACAGAAACCATCCTGACACTGGGGGTAAATTCTGTACCAGTTCAAGTTTTATTCTTAGAAAGCCAACAAGACCGTCTCCCGGGTTGGTCATATTAAATAGCTAAACAGCAGTTGGGGACTAGTCTGGAACCGGAAATCCACACGTATCTGCCTGTGAAAACATGTTCTCAATTTAGATCCAACATGAACAGGTCAGCGACTTAGGACTACGCTCTATCAGCAGCCAGGAACTCGGCACCAGTCCCCCCATCTTCCAGCTGGGGCAGCTTAAGCCAAATGGCTGCCACAGCTGTCGGCCACCACGTTCAGGGCTTTCTAGCACCTCACGTTTCCTGCCCGACAGGGAACTCATGAGAGGCTGACATCTCACTGGGACTTCTTGCAAAATCCAGTAAATATAAAAAGAACGATATGAAATATGTCCAAGGCTGAGCATCACTCTGGCGTGTAGCACAGCCCCCCACAACGTGCAAAGTCCGAGGTGATTAGACCCCAGGATGCACACGGCGGCTCTTACCTGGAGGCAGAGGACAGATGGGAAGCAGGCGAGAAGGAAGAACTGACAGGGTGTTCCGTGGCATTAAATTCTGAATATGTGGGGCGCCTGGGTGGCTCAGGTGGTTGAGCATCTGACTTGATTTTGGCTCAGGTCATGATCTCATGGTTTGTGGGTTAGAGCCCCACATAGAGCTCTGTGCTGACAGCATGGAGCCTGTTTGGGATTCCTTGTCTCTTTCTCTCTCTCTCTCTCTGTCTCTCTCTCTCTCCCCTCCTCCCCTGCTTGCTCTCTCTCAGAATAAATAAACTTAAAATTTTTCTGAATACGTTACATTTTAGTGGCATCCTGAGATGCTCTGTGTCCACCCTCTCTGTTCACAAGCCCGGCTGAGGGTGGAAACCACTGCTCGCATGTCTTGGCACACGCGGGACGGAGTGCACTGGTGCAGTTCCCTGTGTCCCGGGTGCACACAGGTCGCCAAGCGGCTCCTGCTGGCCAGAGAGAACACAGGTGCCACAAAGGCGACTGCATGCCAAGGGGGAGTGAAATACATTTGACGCAAAAAGTCAAATTTCAGTGATTGTGCACAAGAGAAACAGAGCTGGGGCCTCTGACCGTGTCCTGTTTTCTCTGAGCCTCAGTTTTTCTATCTGGAAGGTGGGCTGTCATGAAGACTAGATAAGAGGTGGGGGAAATTTGGGCAGTTAGTCAAAGCACACAAACTTTCAGTTATAGGATGAATGAGTTCTGTGTCTCACCAAAAAAGAAGGTAAATATGTGAGGTGATGGATAATTGGCTCGATTGAGGTATTCATTTTACAATGTATATGTACATATACATCGAACATCACACGTACCGTGTACAGACATGCCTTGGGGATACAGTGGGTTTAGTTCCAGACCACCACAATAAAGCAAATACTGCAATAAAGGGAGTCAAATGAGTTGTTCGGTCTCCCAGTGCTTATAAAAGTTATGTTTACACCACAGTGTAGTTTCTTAAATGTACAACAGCATTATGTCCAAGGAAATAATGCACACACCTCAGTTAAAAAATACTTTACTGTTAAAAAATGTTAATCATCATCTGAGCTTTCAGTGAGTCATAATCACTGATCACAGATCACCATACCAAATATAATAATAATGAAAAGGCTTGAAATATTGTCAGAATTAGCAAAATGTGACACAGAGAGACGACGTAAGCAAACGGTGCTGGAAAAATGGCCCCCAGAGACTTACTCGACACAGGTTTGCCACAGCCTTCAACTTGTGAAAGCACAGTATCCGCCACGTGCAGCAAAACGAGGTGCGCCCGGACCTTAAGTATGTACGATGTTTGTCACTAACACCTCAATGGGAAAAGACCGCGTGAGACAGTACTGGTAACTGACCCGGCTCCCGGTACGGCTCAACAGTGTCCACTCTTCTGGCACTCCTCCCTCACTGACTACTGGCCAGGTGTCCAATTAGTGAGAAATCGGCTAAAATGGAAGCTACTTCCTCTTCTAGAATTTAATGATTTGGTGGGGAAGAATGGCTTTTAACCATAAACCTTAGTGAGGAGAGCAAAGACAGCCCCTCTATAAAAAAGGGGCGTGAAAGATGATCCCGCAGGAAATCGTATCTGACGGTGACATCAGTACCAGTCTCACCAGCGGCCGGATGGCAGGGCCCAGGGTTGGCGGGAGGTGCACGAGTAGCTAGGTAGGCCCTCAGGCTCTTTGAAAGGGCCTCAAGTATGTTCCTACACAGCAGACGTCTGCGGAAACACAGCACGACTTCAGGGTAAGGAGGCGTTCACCTGTCCGTATGGCGTCAGGGGTGAGTGAATGTAGCCCAAGGGGCAGGACAGCGATCTGGTTTCCTGGTGGTATACAGAGTAAGACTACAGTGGTACAACGTTGCCGAGTGAGTGTTCCGGAAAGAGCAGCGACGCCAGCCCTGGGGCTGTGGGCTGAGCCCACAGACAGGACCCCGAGCAGAGTTGAGCGGACTTGATTTGACACATCATTTAAGTGATCGCATTCTCAGAAAGGGGTCATCTTGAGCACACCGCCACGGCCCCCGTACACCATGCCGGCCCCCAGCGCAGCCCCAGCGCGACTTGGGCACTTGGCCACGACATGCTCCCTCTCGGTTTGCAAACACCCTCCATGCCCAGTTCCGTCCCCTGCTGCTGGCTCGGGGTCACAAAACTACCGCGGGGCTGCTTGACAGCCCACATTGTGGCAAAGCCTCAAACCCATCGGGGGAACGGATGCTCGTTAAAGCTCACTTCAGGCGGGCAGTGCCGCTCAGACACACTGAAGGTAGGCGAAGAGAGCCAGGCTTTCCGCCTCCACAACGGCAGAACAAGAAATGACTCCAAGTGCCTGGCGCAGAACTGAAATAGGGCCGTTAAGAAGTAGAGGAAAGGAAACCTGCACAATTCTCGCAGGGTAGCCAATGGACGCTGTTTCGTGTGCACTTCTGGAAAAGGGGCTGAAATGTGCAGGGAACCATGCAGGGGCCCTTACCTTGCTCTCGTCCTCAGGGTCATTATAGCCACACGCGTCTATGAAATCTGGAAACATCTCTGACCACCCATCACTTGTGCAGTTTTTGCTTATGTTTCCTAGAAGGTAAAGTTCAGGTGTCAGGTCTGTGGGTCCACGACAGCGGCCTTAGCAGCGACAGCGTAGGCAGTGCTTGGAGGTATGTGCATTCACCTGCCCGGGCTTCCCACCCATGAAACCTGGGTTGTGCAGGGCCTTGGTGGCTCAAGGGAGGGCTTCTGTGTCGCGAAGCACAGTGGTGGTACCCGTAGCTATGCCGGTGATGGCTGCAATGTATGGTGTTATCATTATGGAGCACAGTGGACAACTTGTGTTCTGCCCAGTGATGGACCATTCCGGAGCCCGCTATCCCAGTCCACCCTCACTCCGCTGCCCCGGGCACAGTGACCAGGGAGCACGGGCAGGCACCACTGACCACTGATGTTGGAGGAAGAGACTGTGGGTGTAAGATTTAAATCACATAAGGTAAAGGCAGTTTTGATCTTATAGTACCATTTTTTTGCTCCTAATTAATGTAAACGTGTATGTTAAACTCAGGGATGCAATGTTCCCTCAGGCTACTGAAATGCAAGTGTCCTCAGCAGGTGACTGCAGTCATTGAGTGGTGATGAGTGAAATCAGGGCTGGGCACTGGTGGCCTGTGATGGGGGCAGGCGGGGCTGGGGCTCACTGGGTGGGCTTTGGGAGGCTGGAGCCCGGGAGGCCCTTCCTGCCTTGGTGATCCCTACCAGCAGCTGACCCCCCAGAGGGTCCTCTGTGACTCACAGCCCCAGCAAATCTTTCCACTCACACGAGCCAAGACTGTTAGGCAGACTTGGTGGGCATGACAGCTCCCGTTTCACCTGAGAAAATGAGATTCTGAGGGTTCTGTCACCCGCCCGAGGTTCTGTAATGACTGAGCCGCAGAGATAGGTTTTCGAACTCAAAAACTCCTTATTTTGTCAACCCCAGGGCAGCCTACGTGTTCACCCGCTTTGATCTATTAATCAGACAAAATCGAAAGCAAAGTGCGTTCACATGGAGGTGATAATATGTGTAAGCGATTCCTGGCATGCCGTGTGGAGGCAGGTGGGAGGGCCCAGACCCTGACCTGCTGGCAAGTGGGGAGGGGGTCTCAGCAAAGCCCCCGGCAGCATCACCTGGGCTCATGCTGCCTGGTCGCTCTCCAACACCACCGTTCCGTGCATTTTTCTGACTCCAGGCCCCCAACCCTCCTCCTGCTCCAGCTCCAGAGGGTGTCCCAGGGGAGTCTGGGGGTGGCTGGAGGGCAGGGACCATAGTAGGGAGTGGAGGCAAGACAGAGTCCTGAGAGATGAGGCCCCACTCACTGCCCTATTTTATAGATAGGGAGACAGGCCCACAGGAGATAAAGATCTGCCCAGAGTCAGGAATCAGAACAGCAGTGGGAGTGGCTGTGGCTGCATATGGCTCGCTGAGCTCCTGCTGTATGCCAGGCTTGGTGCCCAGGCCCCCATTTAACCCTGAGACTACATGGGGGCCCTTTAGTGGTCCTACGTCACAGGTGGGGGACCTGAGCCGACAGGTGAGGGGCCCTGTTCCAATCCCAGGCAGTGGTCTCCTCGTCTGCACAGCACACCTGCTGTCTGGCCCTCATTGCCCAGCTCTTGGGACCTGTGCCTGAGCTCTGCGGATGCGGCCAGGAGTGGGCACTGAGCCAGTCATTCCTCATTAATACACAGCAAACACTAAAGAAGACGCTGAAATGTCAAGATCCCACACGGGTTCTCCATTTTGCCTGGAAGACACCTGGAGGCAGAGGCAGAAGGCATGCTTCCAGGAAATGCTTGAGGCAGCAATGTGTAGAGAGGGGCCTGGGAGGTGGGAGGGGGCCTGGGGGATGGGTGAGGGGCTGGGAGGTGAGAGAGAGACCAGGGAGGTGAGAGAGGGGCCAGGAGGTGGGAGGGAGCCTGGGGAGAAGAGAGAAAGTCCAGGGAGGTGAGAGAAAGTCCAGGGAGGTGAGAGTGGGAACATATAGGAAAAGAGGGGAAGCCACAGCTTTATGACTCAGGAGCTTGGACTTCCTTCTCCCTCCTCTGTGAGTGGACCTCTTCCCCACCCTGACTCTGTGGGGACCATCTGCTCGGTGGGAACCCCCACCACTTTGTGAGGACCTCCCAGTCTTTGTGAACTCTTCCTGCTGTAGCCCCAAGTTTAGCAGCCATGCCTGGCGCCCTGAGCAGAGCGGTGACAAGTGTCACTCTCGCGTGCTCCCCAAAGCTGATTATAAGCTCACTGGGTGTAAGTCTGTGAGGGTCCTTGGTCGTCTGCAGAGGCAGGGAGGGTGAGTTTGCCTGCACGGGGAGCACTGTGCCTATTGGGGCGTGGGGGTCCCTGCCCTCCAGACGACCCAGTCTGATGTGAGAGCAGCTCCCAATTGTGAGCTCTGTGTTGCAGGCACTGCGTTAGGCTCCACAGCCCTCAGGGTAAGGTCTGACCACAACCCCAATGCCTAGCTAGTTTCGGGACTCACTCTTGTCCCCCCGGGACAAGTTGGCAGAGCCAGAACTCAGAGCCAGGCTGCTCGGCTGCAGGGCCTGTGCTCTGGACCATTTTGTTATCCATCTGTTTGGGCTTTCCCTCCGATGCAGTCACACCCACTGTCTCCCTGCCCTGGAGAAGCGCTAAGTGAGCAGGAACCACCATGCCCTAAGGGGTCAACTCTTCAGAACAAATCTTAGTCTATGAGCCTGCCTCCCTCCTTCACTTGATGGTTTGCCGCTGTCCCTTTTAAAGATTCATCCTCGGTGCTAAACTGAGTCCCCACAGCTTTCCTGTCACTCTGCTGGCCTGTGGGAGTGGATTTGCACCCCATATCCTAGCACAGCTCAGAGGGGCCTCCCACGGACCCTGGAGCTCATGCAGCATGAGGACAGCAGACAGCAAGGTGCTGGTTGCCATGACATCATCTAGAGAGCCCACCCAATTTCCCGCTACTGGAGGTAGGAGAACTCAGAAGAGAAAACAATTTTCATGAAAGCACAGATCTGTCTCTTGAGCATCTGGGTCTATGGGCTGAAACAGTCACAAGTCACTCTATGATCTGGCTCTCCCCACAGGTCACTGTGGGAGCAACTATCACATTCTAAGTGCTTTCTGCTAACTGGGAAGTAACATACAGTTTCAAGCCCTACTGGTTCTTAACTGTATTTCAAGACCACACTTTATCCCTGCCAAATTTCCTATTTGGGGCCTCCGCCCATTGCCATCCAATGCCTGTCGGCCCCAGCCCCAGCCGTACTCAGCCCCCAGCTCCGGACTATGTTCACGTTTCTCTAAGGCCCACACTCTGTCCAACACTCCTAGAGACCTGCACTCCATGTGGACCACAATTTGTCGACAGTCTGTGTAAGTGCCTCATGGTTCACATGTTTTGTGACCAGTTAAATAAGGGGATGCATATACTTTTCAGATCACCTAGCTGTTTTATACAGACTCAGGAGAACCTCCCTAGTAGTAGAGATCTCCCCACAGCAGCAAGGCAGTGTCATGCTCCCTGTTTGGATAAAAAAAGAGCATCAAGCATTTAACCCAAGGCAGACACGGAGTCTTCATTCTCCATAGCAGCACAATGACTCATAGCAGAGCCAGATTCTAGCCTGACCTGGGCTGGGTGCCCCAGGTGGCTCCCCTCTGGCAGAGGTTAGGCGCTCACAACAGGTGGCCCAGAATCAGAGCTCTTGTGCTCTCCAGTGTGCAACCCCCGGCTGCCCCCTGGAGGCATTTAGAACCTACCATCTATCAGGGGAAGCCTAAGTCTAAGCCAATTCATTTGAGGTTTCTGGGAGAATATTTATAGTCCAAACCATTCAGTACAAATGGTATTGATTAGATAGGATATTTTTTAGAGTTTAGATTTTCTAAAATAATTTAGTTTTTCTGACTTGAAGATGACCAATGTTGCTTATGCAGGTATGACCCCAAGTCCCCTCAAACTGCTTCACTGACTAACTCAGGAAGAGTCTCACCTTGCAAGTCACAGGGATAAAAGGAAACCTTTCTTTTCCTCCATCCCAACCTGTGCCACAAATTTCTGCTTGAAGTGTTTCAACAATTCTACTTCTCAAGAGTTTTTACCCTGTAATGCTTGCTCAAGATGAAAATAAGTTCTCTACAGTGCTTGAAAGTATCCTGCCTTTCTGATTTCCAGATGTATCTCCTCTTTTCTATTCTTCCGGATAGATTTCTTCATGTTATAAAAGTCTGGATCCTTTACAAGAGAAAACAAAAACCACAGCACAGCACAGCACAACCACCTTCCTGGGAACAAGCCAAGAGATGTTGTGGCAGCGTGCGGAGAGCAAAGGCGCAGGACCGTTGGCACCCCGGACCCTGGAGACAGAGAGACAGCGGGTCTTCTGACCACATGGAGCCGGTTCAGAAAGTGGGAGCTGGGAGCTGAGCTCGGTCCAATGAGCAAGATGTTTCCTGTGGACGAGAGACTGCTTCTGGGCTCGAGGAAAGCCTGGCCACTGTCCCTGAGCATCAGGGCGCCTCAAAGCATCTGGAGGACGCTCTCTGATGGCTCACGGACACCCACGAGTGGCAGGGAGGCACAGGACTGCACGGATGTTTTCCTCGGCGCCTGAAGCCAGTGGCTCCTCGTCTGCATTGCCGCCCGCCCCCTTTGGGGCGCTCCCGTATCAGGCTCACTCGTCCATGCTTGTCTCGGGCCTGCTCTCCCCTGCTGTTTCCCTTGAGGTGGCTGACCTGGCAAGAAGCTTCTCATCCTCCTGCTCCTCAAACCAGCTCAGTAGATGATGGCACAGCTGTTCCCTGACTCAGTAAAGGAAACCAAGGAGCCTGCTTCTTGCTGCCTTCCATGGAGAAGCCAGCCCATAGCCTCTGCGGGGGTTTAGACACAACGCTGACAGACGGTACCTGGTTTGCTGTAAAAATTGCTGAACACTGTAGGACAGGGCACTGTGACAGTCTCGCCTACGTCCGCAGGGCGCCAGCACGTAATGTTGTCCCAGACGCCAGTGCAGGCTAGGAGGAGAGAGACAGTGTAAGAAGGACTAACCAGTGCAACGGAAGCATACGCGAGGCTGCTTGGGGGATGCCTAGGTCAGCAGGAGCACATCTGTTCAAAGGCTTTGCAAGTAGATAGTCCCTTACTTAGGCAACTATCTTGCAAATTACCTTTTTGTGAAACAAGTTTGCACCAACAGAATTGCTGAGAATATAGTTAGCGTCTGTGTTCGTTTTAATCAGGTTTGGAGAAATAACCAGATGTGTGGTAGAAAGTATTTGAGTAATCCAATGTGCAATGTGCACTGATGAACTTTAATAGAATCGTTACTTCTCTCCTGCTGAGGTGCTTCCCCCAGTGGTATAATATGAGTACTCTTGAAGGCTTAGGGTCCCCTGGATGAAGGCATACTTCTGCTTTTAGGGAATCTGACTTCAAGGATAATTTGCACATTTAAATATTTGATAAGATTTACTTGATTTAAAAAAATTTTTTTAACGTTTATTATTTTTGAGACAGAGGGAGACAGAGCATGAATGGGGGAGGGTCAGAGAGAGAGGGAGACACAGAATCGGAAACAGGCTCCAGGCTCTGAGCTGTCAGCACAGAGCCCGACATGGGGCTCGAACTCATGAACCTTGAGATCATGACCTGAGCCGAAGTTGGACGCTTCACTGACTGAGCCACCCAGGTGCCCAAGATTTACTTGATTTTAATAGTCAAGATGACATCTATGTGATGAAATCTTAGGTTACCCTCATGCAGTTATCAAATAACCTAATTTGTATACTGTTATGGCTTAAGCCATTCTCCAGATCTCTTACAGGGTCTTAGCAACCACCACACCCTGTGCAAGGATACAAACGTGCCAATCATCCAAGGTGAAAGGCAATGACCTCTCAACGTCACACAAACCATGACAATCCACATTTGAACCCAAGGCTTTTTACTACAAGTCCCAGGTACTGTTACTGTATTAACTTCAATATTGGAGGTGCTAGCCTCGGTAAAAACAAACAAACAACAGTTCTGACATGCCATCCAGTCCTGCACAGGAACTGTACAAAAACACCAATGAAGTATTTACATTCTTGGTTCGAACACAGGAGTGTTTTAGCTCAAGAATGCAGATGCCTCTGATAAGTTGGGTATAAATCAAGTTTTGCAGATGAAAATACTTTCTAGAAGTTTTTAAAATAAAAATGGGGCGCCTGGGTGGCTCAGTCGGTTGAGCATCCTACTTCA